TCATACACACAGACAGACATAGACACACAAGTATTTCTATAAAGCCTCTACACTAGCAAACATCAGAAACCTTCAGAAACTGATTAACTTTTAGCCTCTATCTCTTTACACCCTCTGGTGGAAGTGCTAATAAAACAGTCACAAAGGCCAAACAGCAACAGCAAGTAGTAAATGAAAGCCTGGCTATCAGGTCTTAGCAATTTTTGGTTTAACATCTTAACTAAATTGTTATTCATCCATTTTATTCCTCAACATTTCACCGCCAACTGAATTTAACCGAGTAAGACCCTCAGCTGCTCCATTTTTCTTAAAGGAATTAAAAGGTGAAAGACTCCATTAAGTTTATGCCACCTAAGCAACTTTTTCTAAACAAGAGCAGAATCTACTAAAAATTCAAAGTGAGATCTCATTTTGGATTTCTGATTTAAGCACCAGGATTTTTTTTTTAGTATTCAGATCAAATTGCACTGAATTTAGTGCCACTTACATTTCTGACTCAATAATCATTAAGAGAAAAAATTTTAATCCCAAAACCTAAGAACTAGGAGGAAAATGGGGAGGCAAATTCACAGCCAATAATTATACAGATAAATAATTCTCTGGCAGAGGTCATTCAAATGCTAAAATTCTTTGGAGCTGGCTTGGAATTTTGAAACAGCAGACTTCTAGAAATTAACTTTTATGCAGGGTATTGTGGCACACACCTGTAACCCCAGCACAAAAGAGGCTGAGACAGGAGGATTACAAATTCAAGGCCAGCCACAGTGAGTTGGAGGCCTACCTACGCTACTTAATGACACCATGTTTTGGAAAACTAAGAGCTCGCATACAGCTCAACACCAAACAAAATCAAGTAACCTTTATTAAACAACTATCATTTGACAAACCATAGTACCCAATGTAAAATTAAGAATTTAAAAGATCCCCACTTTCAAAGGGTCTCTTAGCATTAAAGCTTAAAAATCTTCATTAAAATCTTCATATACCATTAAATTTCCCTATACACTATCCAAGTTTGGTTTTCATTCATGATCCACCCTCTACTTTGGTAAAGTTGGTTACCACATACTCTACATTTTGGCTTTACCTTTATCCTGTAAAAAACAAGAAAAAGTTTAAAAAAGAAAAAAGTACCTATTGCAATACTTGGGTAGTCTTAAGTTTTTTGATAAATTACACCTATTAACTAAGTTTTTGCTCATATATTTTTACCCTAGATACTAAAAGCCAGGTATGTGACTAAACACAGAAGCAAATTCCAGAGTCTATGTCACCACTCTACTATTGAGTTTTAAAACACCTTTCCTTTTGTATCCTTTCTTCATTTTAAGTAAGTTTTTAGCTTCATTGATTAGACTATTCTGGCATTAGAAGCTTATTTTGCATCAAGTCCCTTTCCTTGTTCATTTTATGAAGTACAGTGCAGGTGACTCAAATAAAATTGCCAACACCTGGCCTACTAACTGGGTCTAGTGCAGAAAAGATTAGGACCATTTCCTTTTCCTAAAAAAAGACAAACTAGCTTTTGGTTTTGGTTTTGTTTTTTTTGTTTTTTTTTGTTTTTTTAAAAACTGTATTAGGACTAACTTTTTAATATTGATATATACTATAACCCAATTAACTCCACACTAGCCTCTGAACACAATAAAAGCTGTGCAAAAATATTCCTGCCAGAGTGCAGTAATTCATCACACAGACTCTCAAGGGTGTTTCCGTTTCCCCAAATATGAGCTCAAAACTCAGATGAACAACAGAAAACAATATGAATTAGGAAAGTACTGTCCCACAGGTCATCAACATTTAAAGACTGTCAAAAGAGATAGGGGATAGTATCTTTTGAGCATTATTTGTAAATGGAGGAGAGAATTGTGGGTCATAGAAATGACCTGAGGGCAACTGTTATCACTACCAGACTTAGTCCAAGCTATTACTCCTTTCCCTCCAGATCAAAGGAATAGAAAGGTCCTGGGGTCAAAGGTCAATTATATATCTTTCTGAAAGGAAAGTGACTTAGTTTCTGAGGGTGGGGGGGGATAATCCCTACAACCCCCACCCAAGGAAGCTAAACAGAAAAAGAATAAAAATTATTTAAACCAAAAAATTTCTATAATTATTGTCTAGAAAGCATAGCATACTTTGATTTTTTAAACATTTAAGAAATTTTTCTAAAATAAGTAAATAATTTTGTTCACAAAACAACTACAACTACTCAAATACTGAAATACACTTAAAAACAAGCATCACCGCCTGGCGTGGTAGCACACACCTGTGGTCCCAGCACTTGGGAGGCAGAGGCAGGCGGATCTTTGTGAGCTCAAGGCCAGCCTGGTCTACATAGTGAGTTCCAGGACAGCTGGGACTACAAGGAGACCCTGTCTCAAAAAAGACAAAAAAAAAATACCAAGCATCCAAGCCCAGTGTGGTGGCACATGCCTGTGGTCCCAGCACTTAGGAGGCAGAGGCAGGCAGATCTCTGTAAATTCAAGGTCAGCCCATTAACATCAGTGGTCAAACCAGTAATATCCAGGGAATATAAAGACACTGGTCACAATGAAGTGTGACTACAGATGGAAGGATATTGGCAGTGCTTGAAGAAGAAAATACACTATGTGTTTTCCTTTCTTCTCACCTTGATAAAAGTTCACAAGTAAATAAAGCTGTTTTCTAGCTTCCAGTATTTTTCTCAACAGGATAAGTCACCTAACAATCAGTGTTTAATCACAGAAATAACATGTGTAAGCAGGCAAAAATTTTATCACTACGGTAAAGCACAAAAAGTCAAATACTAATGGTCTGAATAACACTTTTAGGAAAGATACAGGGACTCAATAACTCAACAAATTCCTATAGGTGGAAATACCAAAAATCTCACCCTATCTCAAAAGCTCTGATATTTAACTTATCAATTTCAACTGTGTACAGATGTAAATCATAAATCTTAAATGTAGTAATCAAAGACAACATCTTCAAGAATGGAGATGTTATAAACCTTTGTGACATCTAATGTTTTCCAAGTAGCTCACACTTCAAAAATAAAGTCAACCAACTCAAGTTCTGAGAGCACTAACAAATCTAATTCAAAATTCCGTGACTAAGGATCATTATCTCATATTTATAATACATTTTTTTGAATTCCCAAGGGATGAGCATCTTTACCTTGCCTTATTTTTAGAGCAACATCACATTACACCCATCACATGACATGATGTAACTGTTAGCAAAGAAAATGGTCCAAGCCATTGAAAACATATATGGTGAAGAAAACAGATCAACGATTACTCAGTAATCACTGCATTTCATACTTACTTCTTGAAGTCTAGTACCCTACCTAGAAACAAGAGAAATATGTACTTTTCCATTTTATGGGAAAAACTAACATGATAAAAAATACAAACTAAAAAGAAAAGTTCTGTACTAAAAAAAGCAACAGAAACAACAAAATGCTCTTAATGTAGGAAACACATCAAAAGTATCCACTGTTAGAAGAAAAAAAGTCAACTGACAACACCTGCAGTCAATCGCAAATTTCTAAATTGGTAAGAGTACGTAAGAAAAGGAACCAAACACAGCCCAAAGAAGAGGGGGAGAGGAAACACACCCACTTATATGCCTTTGTAAATACTGGTACTTTAAATGACCTAAAAAAGTGGGGAAAATACAAACTACAGACCATTCTAAGAAATAGCATTCTAACGTAACCGTTTTCCTTACTTGAAAGAAATTTTGAGAAGTTCAGTAACAATCTCTAACTACATCTTGATTATGCAAGGCAAAGATTATGTAATTTATCGTTTAATATGTTCTTCAACTGTATTAGAAGAAAAGCTAAAACATTCTCATCTCTCCAATGGGGCAGGGAAGATTCCTCTCAGCTACAATTTAAAATACAAACATACACCCCCAAAACAAAAAACAAACAAACAAACAAAACAATGATTGCTAGCCACGTGACAAAGGAGATGGCAACACTGGGACTGTGAATGGACGTGAGGGAGGCTAGATAGGAGGACTGGCGAGATTTCTCGCAACTTTGGGGGCCCTCAGGATTCGGGTCTCTTGAACCTTAAGATACCAAATTCTAGCCCCTAGGAGTTATGTTGCTAACACCCCTAAGTGCAGTTTTATTAATAGGTCACGGAAAATATTCCAGTGACCTCCAGGATAAGGAAAGAAAAAAAGGAGGAAAGAGCAATTTAAAGTGGCGCCATCATGTCACCCCTTTCCCCTAAGGCAATCAATAAGCAATAGTTAAGTAACGAGTTTCTCTAAAAATCCACATTGGGATTCAAACATTGGAAAACAAAAGGATTTTAAAGTAAAACATGGGAGTAGGGTTGTTTACAATATGGTAAACAATTAAACTATTTGCTGAGAAAGAACGTCGGAAAGAAAACAGGCCCCCCCAAAAGGCAGTAAGATTCCAACTCTTTTAAAAGCAAATAAATGCCTCTTCCTCTTTAGTTAAAAAAAAAAAAAAAAAAAAATACAATTACTACGCCTGCCTATGGAAGACTAGATCCGAAAACGTAAATGACCTCAATATACGGGCAACAAAAATAAATGTTAACAGAGTTGTGATACCAACCGTGACACATGCAAGATGTGTTCGAGCAAAGAAAGGCCTTTTGCAGTCATGAGAAGTTCAAGGCAAGAGCAAGAGTTTGTTTTGATTTTTCGGGTTTTCTTTTTTGTTTTTTTTACAGTCCTGAACCATGTTCTCCAGGCCGCCTTTTTAAATAGAACGCCAAAGGAAAGCCCAGCGAACGAGGCGGCAGCTGGTGGGGAAGGGCCCCCGCACACCCCCGCCCTTGGGGCGACTCCCAGCCCGGACCCGCAGCGGGGAAGCCCAGAGAGGCCATTTAAAGTTCCAGGGATTTTTCTTCCCTGCCCTGCCTTTCTAGTTACAACTAACAAAGAGAGGGAGAAATGGGAGCCACAGGGAGAGCGAGGAGAAGGAGAAAGGGCAGCGGGAGGAGGAGGAGAGCAGCAGCAGCACCTACCACGTGATGGAGGAGCGTAGCCCGGGCGGATTCGGCCCCACAAAATGGGCGCAGTTTGCAAACAGCCCCCCGGCCTGGGCGCCGAGGGCCAGCGGGCGGGGGCGCGCGGCGGCTGCTCCGGCCCGGCCCGCCACTCTCCTCCCCCCCGCCCCGGCGCCCGGAGCCGCCCTGACTTTCCGGGCGGGGGGGCGAGGCGAAGGGGGAGGGGAAGGCGGTGGCGGGGAGCGGCCGCTTTTTCTTCTCTTTCGGGCCCTTTCTCCGGCCTTCCTCCGTTCCGGCCCGGCCTGAGTAGAGCCGGGAACCGCAGCCCCAAAGGGCGGGCGGGGGCAGAGGGTAAAGCCGCCCCCCCCGCCCCGCACAAACAAGCGCCGCCGTCTGCAGCCCGCGCCCGCACCCTGGCCGCCACCCGGGACGCTTCTTCCTGGCCGCGGAGCGCGCTCCGGCCGGCCCCCGCGCCGCCGCGGCGAGACGAGTCGGCTTCGCTAGGGCGCTCGGTTCTCCCGCCGGCTCGGCGAGCGGTGGCGGCGGTGGCGGCGGCACTGGGAAAATGGCGGCTGAGCTCCTTTTCCCTCCCCCCCTTTAATCTGAAGCGGAGGGAGAATGAAGCGAGCAAGCGAGCGGGCGAGCGCCGGGGACACGGGGAGGAGGGACAGCAGCGCCTCCGCCGGCTGCGGCTGCGGCGGCGAAGCCCGCTCCGCCCCGGCGCGCCGCCAGGGGGCGCCCG